GTACCCTCTCATTTATTTGTATCCTCTTCTTGATCTTCATTGTCTTATAGTTGTCAGGGCACAGGTCTGTCACCTCTTTGGTTACGTTTATTCCGTCCTATTTTATGCTTTTTGATGATGGTGTAAATGGCATTTATACAGGTTCTCCTTCTGAATGCTCATCGTTAGGGTATAGAAATGCGACAGGTGTCTGATTTTGTACCCTGCAATGTGACAGAATTCATTTGGTCGTTCTCATAGTTTTTTGGTGGAGTCCTCGGGCTTCTCTGTGTATTGTATCATGTCATCTACAAATAGTGAGAGTTTTTCTTCTTCCTTTCCGATCTGAGTGCATTTTAGTTCTTTGTGTTGACTCATTGCTATGTCTAGACCCCCAATGCTGTATTAAATAGAGGTGGAGAAAGCGGGCATCTGTTTCTTATTCCCGATCTTAGAGGAAAAGCTTTCAGGTTTTCACCATTGAGTAGCATGATAGCTGTAGGTTTAGGGGTCACGTTTTAAATAAAGAATTTTTACTTATAATTGTAACAAAATTGGATCCAAAATGAGTATCTAATTGTACCTACATTTTGCTATTGTAGATTTTACTATGTTGAACAGCATTAAACACAATCTTTTTGTTTGTTAATGCTGGACCTTTCTTTCCTTTGGTAAAAATTCCTGCTTGTTGAATCTGCAGTCAAAGGATAATACACTTTTAAGGCATTTGGCATAAATACCTGTCCAAAATACTACCAGGAATATTAATATTTGTATAAAGCAAAGCATAAGGTTAGCATTATGAAATATTTACAATTTATTCTTTCTTCATTTTAAAATTGTCTATGATTAGAAATTTTTTAAAAAGGATAAATATTCCTAAAATAAGTGAAAATGTATTCCCAACTTAGAAAGTCTTTTTAATTGAAAATATGCAGATATTTGTAAAGTACAGGATGCAAAGGACTTTTGCTTCTGCCCTAAATGAGATGGGAGCCCCCGGAAGGGGCTGAGCAGGAGGGAGGGGAGGAGTCCGGGCGTGCTGGCTGCTGTGCGGGGCACGGCCGGAAGGGGGCAGCAGTTGGATCGGGACGCAGAAATGAGGGGCCTGTGTTGCTCAGCGGGCCATGCTGGGGGCGCGCACCTGGTTGTGGCAGGGAAGTGCGGGTACGTGGGGGGCTGCTGAGCACGTTCACACAGGAGGGCCCAGGACCCCCTGAGAGCGAGGACTAAGGTACGGGCACTACCGTTCACTGTTTCATGGGTGATTCCATGCAGACGCCCCAGCGGACACCTGCAGAACAGGCTCTCTAGTTACCAGCAATCGCCGTTGCGCCCAGGGCGGCCCTGGGAAGGCAGCGTCTCCAACTGCATTTCTACGGGGCTGAGGGGTCATCATTGGGGATTAGAGGTAGAGGCTGGGAGCCTGAGAGCACGAGGCCCCAGCTGGTGCCGTGGTGGCCCCACCGTGACCACCTGGGGCCCACACAGGAGGGTCCTCCTTCCCTCCCCCGCGTTCCCGCCCTCAAGGCAGAGCTCCCCGTGTCAAGCATCAGAGACAAGGACAGAAGGATGACAGACAAGGTCATCCGCGCCCGGCCTGTGCCAGGTGTCCCTGCAGTAACCTCTCTCGGTCAGTGAGGATGGCCCAAGGGAAAAGTTTAAGCCAATAACACAATGTGACTCCCCAGGGTTGCGGCTGGAGAGCTTAGACCTTCTGAACCTTAAGCCCGTTCTCCTGCACCTGCCACCCTCAGTCACGTCGGTCCTTTCCCTCCCCCTGACTCCTGTGCATTTAAAATATGAAATGAAATAGCCCAGACGTGAGGCCCTCAGAGCAGACGGTGCCGCAGCCGAGGTCAAGCAGCCGAGGGCCTTCCCACCGACACCGAAGGGCAGTTGCTGTCGTCTGAGCATTTGGCAAGAACACGGGACTGACCCAGCATCTTCCTTCCTGGGAAACGGGAGAAAGTCGTTTCTCAGGGAAAAGCCCTGGGAGAAGGACGGCGGAGGCAGGGCGGGGCGTCCACCAGCCGGGAAACGCCCAAGGCTGCCAGCAGCCCTGACCCCCCAACCTGCACCTCCCCCTCCACCGGGGCGGGGCGGAGCCGCCCCTCGACCCGAGCTCAGTCTTCCATTCGCGGGGACGGAGGCGACGATGCTGTGTTGTTTCATCCTCCCCATTTGTGGCACCTGGTGCAGCCCGGTCGGGGGACTGAGGTGCCGCTGTCCGGTGGTCCCCAAGGACGTGTGCTTTGCAGGGAGATCCACTCACAGACGGGGGAGGGGTGGGCGGGAAGGGTTAACTCGTATTTCTCCTTGTGCGTCAGAAAACTCTGTGCTCGGCCTCTGCCCAGGGAAGGGCTCTTACAGCATTAATATGGACAGAAATAAGTGCATTTGTAGTTTTCGGAATTGTTTTTAAATATCCATATCAAAGACTAGAATTTGAAGGTAAATGTTTGTCCGCGTCCTGTCCTTTGGACAAGAGCGGAGCCCGCAGGCGGGGGCGCGGCGTTCACGTTGCCCGACGCCCGCCCTGGAGCAGCGCCTTCCCTAAGGGCCCGGGCCGCCGGTGGGTGGGAACCAAGTCCGCACGGAGCGACCCACCATTACGTTAAAATATCAAATGGAACTATGAGGCCATGTAGCATATATAAATTTGACTGTGCATCCTCAGTTACAATATGAAATGTATTTGTTACTGTAGATCACAGTGGGAAAAAAGACAAGGTTATATTCAGCAAAGTTGTAGGAATCTGCGGGGAACCTCGCGGTGGAGGGCGGGGCGGACGCGGTTTCCAGGCGCACGACCTGCAGTGAAGCGCGGCGGCCACTAGGGGGCGGAGGAACCTCAAGATCATCGTCTGAAAAGTTTGAGGAAGAGCGGGGAGAGGGAGGAGGGAGAAAGATCCGGTGAAGGGAGGCGAGTAGACGCAGGAAGATGGAGCCCGAGTCCTGTATCTCCCGTCCCCTGGATGGAGAGACCCGTGGCGCTGATGGGACCCCGACCTGCAGCCTGGGGTCCTACCGCATCCGCCAGGCCCGGGCGGGCTCGCCGGACCAGCGGCGCCCCGTGCGCTGCAGACCCATGACGGAGAAAAGGAATGTCCATAGAATCCCTAGTTGGGTGTTTGCTTTGAGGCGCTATTGCATGAGAAACGTGTCTAATAAGCATGCACCCCATACAGAGTAAAGATTAGTGCCGTTATTTTTTTTTTATTATACCGGTATCTCCTTGCCACTGATGAGTTGGGCGTCTGATGAGTTGGGCATCTGTTCCGGCCGGTCCGCGGATCCGAGCCGCCGCCCTGTTTGCTGCGCAGGGAGGTGGGGGGAGCAACACGGGGAGGCGGGGAAACAGGGGTACCGCCAGGGCCTGACTTGGACCAAGGGCCCCCGGGTGAGGAGACCCCTCCCTGCACCTGAGAATGTGTTTCCCACCCGCGCACGGTCCCTGACGTCCAGGGAAGTGAGGAGGTAGCGTTCATTCCACAGCGGAAGTAAGAGACTTCGAACGCGATGTGACGGAATGGCCCTGGCGCGGTCCGGACAAATCAGGGTGGTGCTTTCTCTGTGTGTGTGTCTGTCTGTGTCTCTTTTTGCCACCAGGGGTTTGGGCACCTGCCTCTGTCGCTAACTCTGTTCCTTCAACTATGCCAATGTGAACAGTTAAGGGCCTGGCCTGGGACTAGGATTAAACAATCAGCCATCCCTGGGCATCTGAAACAGCTCCCTGAGCAACTGGACATCCTGAAGTTCAAGGCCTCAGGTGCCGTCCACTTTAGTAACACAGAACTCGGACCGAAAGGCCTGTGTTTCCATCTATCCCGCGTGGAGCAGCCTTTACGGGCGCCCTGACGCAGAGAAGCTGCCTCCCTGTGACAGGGACGAGCACTCCTGGAGGGTCCCCTCTTCCACATCGAGGGTGGAAGCTGGGCTGCGTCTCCGCCTCAGCCGCCTGGATGCTCCGGGGGAGGCAGGGCTGTGTCCCTGAGTGGGGGTCTCTCTGGAGAAGGAAACCACCAACTTGCACCTGCAAAGCATTGGATCAAAATGAGTCCCTCAGCCTCTCCCATCAACAAGGGGGACGGGCTCAGTGCAGGCCCCTCCGCCTCCCACACTGGGATTGTTTACGAGGAAGCAGCAGGGAAGAGACACCGCAGAAGGGAGCAGCCCTGTGCACCTCAGAGTCGCATTCAGACCTTGTGATGCAGTCACATTCCCTCAGCCACGGCCACACCCAGCCCTGGGGCTAAACTCAGGGCCTTGAGGCCTAAACAAAGTGTCCTTGGAGGCTCGAGGATATAGGTTTTCCCAAAGTGCCATAACAGACACACTCCCAGCCTGTCCCCTCTGACCTCAGAGAACACGGATCCCACAGGAGAGAAGGGAGTCCCCCTGAGAATCCAGACGCGGCTCAGAGGAGGCGCAGGGGGTGACGGGCCTTCTCGGCAGCCCCCAAATCAACCGTCTCTGAGAAACGCAGGGCCTGCCATCGGCCCCTGACAGCACCGCCTGTGGGGACCTGAAAATTATATTATTTGTTAATGGATCTGACCTGAAGGTCACAGGTGCCAGGAAAGGGGGTGTGGGCCTACTTCCTCTCGGTCACGCCCTCACTGGGCTCTGCGGCCAAAGACGGTAACGAACAGCCATCGTGACTTTAATCACTGCACACGGTCCTCTCCTCACAGTGTCATGTGTTAATTTGTCTTAGTTCTGCAGCTGAGCACTTTATGATATGAGGGACGCAGAGCAGGCGTGTGTAGTGCGATGCTGCTCACAGCCACGCCCCCCAACCCCCGCCGCCCAGGAGCGGCTCAGCAGGTGACCACGCAGAGAGACGCAGAGTGGGGGTCAGGGCTGGGCGTGGCCTGCACTGCTCCTTCCTACAGGAGGTCAGCTTTCATCCTAAGCTGTCTGATGGTTTCTGCCCAGCAACTGATGAGACACTTCAACACGAGCCAATCAGAACACAGGGACTTGAAAGATGAACTGGACTTGGTTTGGCTTGGTGAGCAAACTTTCTTTTTCCCCAAGCCTTTCCTCCAGCTCAGAGACGCACCCGTGATACAGACCCCAGAGCGCCCGCGCGCTGGGAGTTCCCGCTGGGAGAGCCAAGGGTAACAGGGGGCTGGGGAAAGCCGGGGCCCGGCCCCTCAGGAGAGGGGCTGAGAAGCTGGGGGACCTGCAGGGCGCCCCTCCCCCTGAGGAGCGGTGGGGGGCCCTGAGCCTGCAGGCGAGGCCCAGGGGGAGCGCGGAGCCAGGGCGGGGAGGGAAGGCTGCCCTGGGCCCCTGTGGGAGGGACACCGGGAACCAGGGAGCCCAATGCCTGCCCGTCCCCGGGAACCTCCTGTGGCCAGAGAGGGGCAAGGCCTCTTCCCGTCTTCCCTGCTCGTCTCTGGGATCGTGTTCTAGGGGATTCTAGAAGAGAGATGTATGTCTAAGGATTTATATATTAGGATGTTTGTTACAGGATTATTTGTAATATAGAAAAATCTACAGGAAGCACATATATAACACGTGGACAATGGCTCGTCAACACACCGTCTGACCGAGGAGGAGGTTGCAGTCCCTGTGTCTGTTGGCCATCTGTCCCGCCTCTTTAGAGACCTGCCTACTCAGGTCAGCCGCCAATTTTTTAAATCTGATTATTTGGTTTTCTCCTGTTAAGTTGTCTGAGTTCTTTACGAATTTTCAATTTTAACCCCTTATTGGACGTATCATTGACAAGTATCTTCTCCCATTCTAGAAACTGTCTTTTCATTTTTGTTGATGGTTCCTCTGCTGTGCAAAACCTTTTTAGTTTGATGTGGTCCCATTTGTTTATTTTTTCATGTGTTGCCCTTGCCTGAGGAGATATATCCAAAAAGACATCATGAAGAGTGACGTTAGAAGGTCCATTGTCTATGTTTTCTTCCAGGGTTATGGTTTTAGGTTCCATATTTAAATCTTTAATTTTATTTTGTGTTTATTCTTGTATTTGGTATAAGAAATTGATCCAGTTAGACTCTTTTGCATGTACCGGTCCAATTTCTCCAACCCCATTTTGAAGAGACTGTCTTTACCCCATTGTTTGTTCTTGCCTCCTGTGTCATGGGTGAATTGACCATATCAGTGAGGGTTCATTTCTGGTATCTTTATTCTGTGTCATTGAACTATGTGTCTGTTTTTATACCAATATCATGCTGTTTTTATTAGTGTGCCTTGTAGTATAGTTTAGTATTAGAGTGTGACCTACTTCTTTGTTCTGTTTCAAGATTTCTTTGGCTATTTGAGGTCTTTGGGGTTCCATACAAATTTTTCGATTGGTAGTTCTACTCCTGAGAAAGCGATTGGTATTTGAATAAGGATTTCCTTGAGTTTTTATATTGTTTTAGACACAAAGGACATTTAACCAATATCAGTCCTTCCAGAATGAACACAGTAAACCCTCCCATTTATTTGTATCCTCTTCAGTTCCTTTCTTCACTGTTTTACAGTTGTTAGGGTATAGCCCTTTCACCTCTTTTGTTAAATGTATTTCTAGGTATTTTATGCTCTATGATGAACTTACAAGTGGGATTTTTGAAATTTCTCCTTCCAATTACTCATGGTTGCTGTATAGAAACGCAACAGGTTTCTGATTTTGTATCTGCAACGTTAACCAATTCACTGAGTTGTTCAAATAGTATTTTTAGCGGAGTCCTCAGCCTTTTCTGCACATTGTATCATGTCATCTACAAATAGTGAGAGTTTTTCCTTCCCCTTTCTGATTTGTTTTTTTAAATTTCTTCGTCCTGCCTGGTTGCTGTGCCCAGGACCTCCAATGCTATATTGGGTGCAGGCGGAGCTGGCGGGCATCTGTTTCTTCTTCCCGATCGGACAGGGGAAGCTTTCAGCTTTTCGCCACCGAGCAGTATGTTGGCTGTATGTTTAGGAATCGTGTTTTTAATAGTGAATTTTTATTTATAATTATAACAAAATTGGATGCAATTTATACATTTTGCTATTGTAGATTTTACTATAATGAATAGCATTAAATATGGACTTTGTGTTAATGCCATTTTTTGCTTTTGTTCTTTTTGGTCCTCCTTCCCAGTCCCCTCTGGTCACCTTCAGTCTGCTCCATGTTTCCATGCCCGTGGCTTATTTTGTTCGTTAGTTTATTTTGTTGAATAGATTCCACTTATAGATGAGATCATATTGTATTTGTCTCACCAACTGGCTTATTTCTCCTAGCATTATAGTCTCCAGTTCCATCCATGTTGTTGAAGGAAAAAGTAGGAGTTCCTTCTTCTTTTTTTTAATTGCAGATTTATTTTATTTATTTATTTTTAAATGTCAAAATCTGTTATAAAATATTAAACAATTTAAATCTATTATAAAGTCTCAGCAATTAAAACATCATGACACCAGCACAGAAAGAATCAAGTAGATCAATGAAATAAAATGAGCTTTCTAGAAACAAACGTATATATCTGTCTAACAATGTAATATATGATTAAAATATTTCAAATCAAGGGGAGAAATAAGGCTTATTCAACAAATAAGGTGCATGGACCACTACTACTTGAAGGAAAACAGATATAGAGCCCTATTTCACCCATTATTCAGAAAATTTGCAGGTGAGTTAAAAATCAATATGTAAAACCAAAGTTTTAGGAGAAAACACAAAATAATATTTTTCTTACCCTGATGTAAAATATTCAAACCCAGAAGCTATAAAGTAAAATATTGACAATATGACTATATTAAACACTTAAGACTATATAGTAATATACATATAAAAAAAGTTAAAGGACAAGTCATAGAATAAGAAAGTATTGGCAACACATTTAAAAAAGTGTTAATAGTTTTTTTTGTTTTTAGGGGAAGACTTTCTACAAACATTTAATCAAAAAATGGATAGAGAATACCAAAAAGTCACTTAAAGCTTTTTAAAGCTCATAGAAATAGGCAAGAAATATACAAAAACAGGTTTAGTTTCAAAATAATAATAATGTAACAATGATAATAACACATCATTGTCCCAATCAGATTAATAAGTATTAAAAATATTGGTAATATCAAGTATTGGTGACTGTGAAAGAACCGGATATTCATAGACTATTTTGATCTCCTTAAAGCAGTCCCTTTAGCTTATTTTGCCATGCTGGTTTGGTGGAAGTGTATTCTTTTAGCCTTCTTTTGTCTGGGAAACTCCTTATTTTGCCTTCCATTTTAATTGAGAGCCTGGCTGGGTAGAGCCGTCTTGGTTGCAGGCCTTTAGCGCTTCATGACTTGGAATATATCTTGCCGTTCCGTTCTGGCTTGTAGTGTTTCTGTTGAGAAGTCAGCTGCTAGCTGTATCAGGGCTCCCTTATATGTTACTACATCTTTCTCTCTTGCTGCTTTTAGGATTCTCTGTTTCTCTTTGATATTTGCCATTTTAATGATGATGTGTCTTAGAGCGGGCCTCATTGGGTTCCTCTTGAATGGGACCCTCTGTGCTTCCTGGACTTGTGTGACTTTCTCTCTCCTCAAATTAGAGAAGTTTTCCATCGTTACTTTTTAAACAGGTTCTACATCCCTTCCTCCTCTTGTCCTTCTGGGATCCCCATTATACGAATATTATTACATTTCAGGTTGTCCTGCATTTCCCTAATTGCCTCTGCCTTCTTTTTGAGTCTTTTTTATTTTTCTTGTTCTTCTGGGAACTTTTTTCTACCTTATCCTCCAGCTCGCTGATTTGTTCCTCTGCTTCGTCTAGCCTGCTTTTGATTCCTTTTCCTGTGTTCTTCAATTCAGATATTGTATTCTTCCTTTTCTCTCGTCTCTTATTGATAGTTTCTGTGTCCTTTTTCATGCTGCCTTAGTGTGCAGTAAGTTATTCGTAGTTTCCCTGTAGTTTTTGGTAATTCTCTCTGAGCTCAGTGAGCTCACTAGCTTCCTTAGAACCGTTGCTTGGAACTCAATAGCTGATAGTTGACTTGCCTCTATTTCATTCAGTTCTCTTTCTGGGGATTCCTCCTTTCCCTTCGACTAGGGGGTGTTTCTTTGTCTTCCCATTATTTGTGAGACTCTCCTATTTGGCTTCTCCTTCTTAAATTGATCTTTCTTGATTTCCTGACTTTGTGGTGTGAACTTCTATGGTAGGAGACTGCTGTCTTTTCTTTCTAGATCTGCCTCTGATGATGTCAGATATCGTCCCTGACTGACCTTAGGCAGTCTGTTCGAGACTTATAGGAATCTAGTGTCTGTGGCTGTCTCCTTCAGCAGTCAATCTCTAATGCCAGTTTTGTTTTGTTTTTTAAGAGTTATTGCTGCAAGTGTAATCTGTAGAACTAAGAATAAAAGGTTTTCAATGCATTTGGTATACACGGAGGGACCCAAAAAAAAAAAAAAGCCATAACCGCCCCTCCCAGGAATTATGTTCTGGAGGGTAGGGCCGTTGTGGCACATGCTTCCCTCTTCCAGGTGAGTGTTCCGGGAACCCATCCGGATCAGCGCACCAGCTGGTGTTGCTGTGAGAAGCTACACTGGGCTTCAGTGAATTGTTTTTGACGACTCTTCCAAAGCATTAGCCCATTTCATGATGGGTGATTTACAAGCTCCCACGCCCGCACCGCCCTGAGTGGTCAGCAGGTTTTGAACAAAGCCCATGCCTTACCCTCCCTATTTCCCTGATCTCACCCAGAGGGACTATATTTCTTTCCCAGATTAAAAAAAGGCCACAAGGGAAATGCTGCCAATGTCGAAGGCATGAAACAAAAACGGCAGAAGCCCTAAAAGGCATTGAAAATGATGAGTTCAACAACTGTTCTGAACAGTGGAAAAAATATGTCCATCAGAGAGCATCCAACGCAGAGTATTTGAAAGTGACTGCAGTTTAAACAGGTCAGAATAAAAACACAACTTTTATGAATAAATATTGTTTTGGGTCGCCCCTGTATCTAGGTGGGCACATACATCCACAAACGTTTACATTAAAATGAAACGATGGGTATCATTGCCAGTATAAATTATGTAAATTTTATCCTTTCATGTTTTGTTTTAAAATTATCTATAATCAGGAATAAAAAACAATATCTTTCAAAATGGAAATACATTCCCCATTCTGAAAACTTTTGACATTTAAAAAGTTCAGATAATTTTAAAAGTACTGAGTGCAGAGGACTTGGGCCTCTGCTCTGAATGAAGAGGAGCCCCGGGAAGAGGCTGAGCAGGAGGGAGGGAGGGGTCCGGGCTGCTGGCTGCTGTGCGGGGCGCGGCCTGCAGGGGGCGGATGTGGGATCGGGACGCAGAAATGAGGGGCCTCCTTTGCTCAGGGGGCGATGCTGGGGGGCGCACCTGGCTGTGGCAGGGAAGTGCGGGTACGTGGGGGGCTGCTGAGCACGTTAGCACAGGGGGGCCCTGAACTCCCTGGTGGCGAGGGCTAAGGTACGGGCACTACTGTTCCGGGTTCCATGGGTGAGTCCATGGTGGGATCCAAGGGGGAGAGACGCCCCTGCGGACACGTGCAGAGCAGGTTCTCGGGTCACCAGGCTGCGCCGGGGCGGCCCTGGGGAGGGGGCGTCGCCACGTGGAATTCTCCACCTTCCTCCAGGTCGTCATTGCGACCCAGCCCCTCCAGGCCTCTCTCTCCGCACAGCGGGTGACGATGGCGAGGGGCCCGGTCCTCCGTCTGCGCGCCCTCCCCGTCTGCCTCGCCCTGGTCCAGCTGCTCAGCCCCTGCTCAGCAGGTAGGACCGGCTCTGCGTTCATGCGCCTGAAGCGTTTCCCTTCGGGCCTAGGCAGACCCTGGACTCCCCCATCCCTGCGAGGCCCGTCCAGGCGGCCGCTGTGTCAGGACCGGGTTCCTGTCCAGGGGTCCCGCCCCTCGCCCTCCCTGCCTGGGACACACCCCGGCCCTCTGGCCCCAGCTCCTCTGACGGGGCCCCCGCTTCTCACGACCAGCTCAGTTTGCTGTGGTTGGACCCCCTGAGCCCATCCTGGCCTTGGTGGGTGAGGACGCCGAGCTGCCCTGTCACCTGTCCCCGAGGATGAGCGCGCAGACCATGGAGCTGAGGTGGGTGCGACCCAGCCTCAGGCAGGTGGTGCACACGTACACGCGTGGGCAGGAAGACACGCCGGCCGCAGAATTTTATGGGAGGACTTCGATGCTGAGAGAGGACATCACTGCAGGGAAGGCTGTTCTCTTGATTCGCGACGTCAGAGCCTCTGACAGCGGAATCTACTGGTGTTATTTCCAAGATGGAGAATACGTTGCAAAAGCCCAGGTGGAGCTGCAGGTGGCAGGTGAGCCTCAGGTTTGCTCTGAGCTCTATTCCGTGGGGCAGGGGGAGCAGCTCCAAGCCCACCTGAGAGCTGCTGAGGCTCCTCACCAGCAACCCCCCCCCCACCTCCAACGCTGCTTCTCGGAGGCCCCTGACAGGCCCAGGTTGTCCCCCAGGAAGAGCCCCTCCTGCATCCAGTACAGAAGCCCCTCCTGCCGCCCCCCAGGGCTCAGCAGGGAGGTGGGGGTGGGGACGGGAAGGAGGAGGGCACCTCCCCGCAGTGGGGGGCACACGGGTGTGCGGGTTCAGCACATTCCAGACGGTGGCCGTGGGCCCCCAGGTGCCCGCTGCTGTGGGTCCGGGAGGCTGACCTGCGGGGACGACCCCTGTGGTGTCCTTGTCCCCCAACCACAGGCCCAGGAACACACGTGCGGGTGCACAAGCTGGGCGTGTCCTTGTGGCCGTGAGGGGGGTCGCGCATGTGAGGAGACCGTGGGCATCCCAGTGAGAGGGTGTCAGGGAGGACGTGGTGTGACCTCTGGGCTGTCGGGGACTCGGGGGGACATGGGAGCAGGGCTCTGCTCTGGATCGGGTGCTGTCAGGCTGGTGCGGGTGTCGCTGGTCACCCTCAGGCAGGACAGGGAGGGCGGTCCCTGCTGTGTCTGCACATGGTCCGCGTCCCTGTGTGCGCGGAACCGGCTGGGCTGCTGCGACGCCCTGGCTTTGTCCTGACCCTTCCCAGCGACAAAGCGCCCCCGAGTCCGAGGCCGCTGCTCCAGGACGGTGCTCACGGGCAGGGGCCGGAGCTGCGCTCACTCCCTCAGGACACAGCCCTGCCCGGCGGCTGCTATTAATGCGGTCCCTGGCTCAGGATGGAAGGGCAGAGAGGGGTGGGGGAGTCCTGGCTTTGTCCCCACAGGGCCTCGTGAGCTGGCTACTGTCCCTTCCTGGAGACCACGGCCGCTCCTAAGAAAGTCCTCCCTACTAGGGTCTGTCCTTTCAGGCCCTCAAAAGGCTTCCTCCCGTCTCCCCCTTGTGTTTAGGGCTTTGGTGTCAGATAGTTAAAAGCCCTCTGGCCCTGGACCTGGGTCACCTCTCTTCTGCGGGAAAGTTCTCCCCTCTGTGCTACCAGGTGATCAAAACCCCCCATGACTGAGGGACCCCAAAAAGATGCTGACAAGTTCAGCATTAATTACATGAAGGATCTCCTGAGGGGACTTTCATATAACACACAGCTTGGGGGTGGCAAGACAAGGAGCATATCATTCCCCCCACGCAGCAGGGCAAAGGCTTGCACAGGACACGCAGGGTGGACGGGGCTCTGGGGTGAGACTGGGTTCAGATAAGGGGGAACCACCCCCTTGTGTGCCCAGGGTGGGTGAGAGGCAGCTCCAGGACCCAGAGGGTCTGGGCCGTGGGGGAGGGGAGGGTCCAGCGTCTCTAAGGCACAGAGCAGGGACCTGGTGCCCTTCCCCGTAAAGCCGTTTCTGTCACAGACGCCTTCTGAGCGTTTCCTGCTGCCCCAGGCGGTGCCAGGCCGTGGGGACTGGGGGACAGGGGTCAAGGTCAGCAAAGACATCCCAAAAAGGGGAAAAATATGTACAAGACAAATCTTAGAGAAAGGACGAGTTTCCTTAGAATATAAGAGAATCCAATAAAAAAATGAGCAAAGAGCTGCAATTTCAGTTCATAGAAAAGGAAAGGACTCACAGAATGACGCCCAACGCCCCTGAGTAGGGAAAGTGTTTCCACCTGTGATATGGCAACAAAACAGGAAAGCGAGGTGGCTGGTCACCCGCTCTGCTGGCGGGACTGTGGGGAGACGGTCACTCGCAGATGTTCTGTTGCTCCGATTCCGCTGGCGGCAGAAGAGCCATCTTTGTCCAAACTATTTGCTCATTGATGCAGAATCCCACTTCTGGGAATTTATTTGACAGATCAGTTTGCATTGTTGTGCAATGACCCTGTAAAGGATTATTTTCTTACAGCTCATTATAATAACACAGGGTCGGAGGCTGTGCATGTGCCCCCCACCACGGGAGGCTGTGGGGGGGGCGCTCCCCTGTGAGAGGGTCCCAGACCTGCTCCCCGTGGCGACGGGGGAAGGTCGCCAGACACGGGGTGACCAGAGAAAGCAACAGGCGGACCAGCTTGTTTAGAGAGCTGTCTTAGGTGTAAAGAAAAATGTATAAGTATATGTATTTTAAATTAACAAACCCTTGCATGACACTCACTATGTGTCAGGCACTTTATAAGCATTAATTTAGTCCTTTTACCCATCAGGACGCCAGGAGCAGGGGCTTACGTCGTTAGTTCAAGGTCACAGAGCTGGTCAGCCAGAAGGTCAGGAATGTAGCCCAGGCCCTGCAGCCCCAAGTTCACATTCTGCATCACCAGATGGGGCTGACTCAGGGGAAGCTCATCGCCGGGGGAGGAGCAGAGGAGGGGAGACGTCGATGACTTTGCATATGTTTTTTATGTTTGAAAACTTCCCCCGTGAGAGGCGGGTATTTCAAGAGAACAGTCTTATGTGACAGTCAACAGAGTTCTGGGCGTTTGGGAAGAGAACGGTCATTTTCCCTCCTGAGAAACCCTGTGTCCCAGCTCAGCAAGTGGCTGAGGCTCACCCTTCGCAGGCCTCTTCTTCCAGAGCGCGCAGCCCTTGGTGGTGGCCTTCGCGGTGACCCTGGTGGCTCTGCTGTTGCTCCTGATTGTGCTCGGGTGCTTCCTGTGGGGACAGCAGAAGATCTGGGCCCTGACCCAGGAGAAGGAGCGGGAGCGAGCAGAGAAAGAAGCAGCTCAGGTGAAGTTGCAGCAGGAGCGAAGCGCCAAAGGTGAGGTCCCGCGGCAGGAGGTCGCCTCCCTGTCCCAGCCCGCACCCACCACAGGTAATGCAGCTCCTCCATTTCCTGAACAGGAGTTTCTTTTTCCTGTTTTTTTCCAGAGAAGCTGCAGGACGAACTCAGTAAGTCCCGATTCATGCCCCTCACGTCCTGGGGTCCCTGGTGACACACGTCACGGACTCCTGCCGTTGTTCCCTGCAGGGTGGAGAAGGATCCCGTACCTGCCACGTGAGTGCCCCGACCCGCATCCCAGCCCCTCTGCGCGGATATTGCCGCCCCTTCCCCTCCCCTAAGCGCCCAGGAAAGAAAGGAGGACGCTGATGGGGGACCCAGGCCCTGGTCTCTCCGTGGGGAAGGAGCTGCGGCCTCCGTGCACCAGGGGGCGCTCGCGCGGGACAGGCAGGCCCCGGAGTTAGGTGGTCCCCCCTTGTCCGAGGGGCACGCAGCCCAAGGCCCCCAGTGCATGCCTGGCGCACAGATATTACCAAACCCCGAACAGACCAGGATTTTCCTGTTCACATAGTGAAGGCTTCTCGTTGGCTCACCAGCATTGCAGCCTCATTGGTTTTGCGCGTTGGGACCATTATTAAGTAAAATAAGTGTGACTTGACCACCAGCGCTGTGACCCTGCGACCGTCCACCTGCCACAGAGACGCTCCTCAGACTACGGGAGGGAGGACGCGGGGCACGAGCTGGACTAAGGGAGGACTCGGGGGGGGGCCGGTGGGGCAGACGGCACAAGGTTTTGTCACGCTGCTCCCATTAATATGAAATTTAAAATTTATGAATTGTTTATTTCTGCCATTTTGCATTTCCTGCTGTCCAGCCGTGGCTGACAGGAGGTGACTGACACTTGAGAAGCTAAAGCGGGGATGAGGGTGACAGCTGCACAGACAGGGACAGGACGGCTCTGCGGGTGACAGCGGGGACAGGCCGTGCAGGGCGCGGGCGGGTCCTGAGCGGCAGCGGATGGAAGGGGGAGGGGAGCCCCCGAGGGAACAGGCAGAGGGAGAGGTGGGAGGGGTGGGGGCACTCGGGAAGGTCACATCGTGCAAAGGGGGGACAGGAACCAACTCAAAAGTGACATCCAGGTGACTCTCTGTCTCCGTTGCAGGTGAGGAGCAGTCTCAGGCCTACGCAGGTGAGTGAGTCTGACGCCTGGTCCCCTGGCTCCTGTGTGGGGAGCGTTGACCCCTCTCTCTGCTGGGGGAGGAAGGGTCACCTCCAGCTCAGGGGCTCCTGGTCTGTGGCTGGGCCACCCCCGCCTTTCTGGACACTCAGAGGGGACCTTCCAGGTGCAGCGTCCCCTCACCTGCTGACACGCACGCCCTCCCCCGGGCAAAGCCTGGTCATGTCGCCCGCGGCCCCAGCGTGAAGGGGGGAAGCCCAGCCCCGGGAGAGGTTTCAGCCTGACCCGCAGGGCTGGGGACGAGGGACCGGGATGGGGGAGGGGATGGAGGACAGGAGAGGGGAGAGGCTCAGTGAGGATGGGGGGGTCAGAAGTAATGTCCTTTCTTTGTCTGTGTCCCCTTCCTTCCAGAGTTGAAGACGGCCCTCTTCCAGCCTGGTGAGTGGGTCCCTCTGTGTCCCCAGGACAGACCCTGAGGGCCCTGCCCCCTCTATCCTCTCTGACTCTTCACTGGGACAGTTCTGGGGGGAGGTGACCTAAGGTCCTGATCCCAGAGGTGTGCCCACCTGCCGCCAGAACCAGGGGCCCAGGGACAGCGGCTGCCCTGGGGTCCACGGGACCCTGTGGGAGGGAGAAGCCGGAGGGGCGGGGCTGGAGGGAGGGGCTGCAGGGGGAGCGGGTAGGACCTGCCCAGGCTCCCGCCCCTCCTGCCGCTGTGTGCCCTCCAGTTATGCCTTGTCCCATGGTCACTCCTGCTCAGTGAGGGTTGGGACAGAGGCTGAATGAGGCGATGACTGTGTATTGGTCAGAACACCCAGAGGAAACAGTCGGCCTGTTTAACATGGGTGTGTGTCTACCGGTAAGGACCCCGGTGTGGAGCAGGCAGCTAAGACATAAACAGACGCGGGCAACTCCTGAATGTAACAGACTGTGTCACAGGGCGACTCACTCACAGGCCGTCGGGTCGGAGAGGACAGAGGCCCCGCAGCCGGCACAGACTGTTCCCTGAGAGCAGACCCGTTACAGGACTTTCTGTGCCATAAGGCGGGCACTGATGACTGATGGGAAAAGGGACAAAGAAGGTGGCAGCAGCAGCCAGCCCTCCTGGGGGTCTTGGGACAGACGATCCTTCGTAGTCGATACAATCGCCAGTTGGGTGTTGATCTCCCTGCTCCTGTCCTTCTCCGTCACTAACAAAAGGGCTCAGGGCTGTAGTTAAGGATACAGACCATTGTCACCTAGAGGCTTTCCTACGTTCGCTGAGGACAGTGAGGTGTATCAATGTTACAGCATGAAGAGATGACAGGTTCCTGACGCAGAGATGGGGTGGTTCCTGACACAGGCGGGGTAGCACGAAGGGAACCCCCAGGGACGACTGGGCCCCGGGCTCACAGCAGGGGCCGCCGTGACCACCCGTGGGCCCAGGGCAGGGGGACAGGGAGGGGCGCCTGGAGCCCGGAGGCCGCTGGGGCTCGGGGAGGGGCTGCTGGGCGGGAGCGGCCCCCTGGGGACGTGGGGCCGGCGCTGCGCCCCCTGTCCTTCCTCCTTCCCGTCCTCAGCCTGCGCCTGCCGTGGCCCCACCCGCAGTCACCAGGGGTCCGGGGCTCAGGGATGCTGTCCCCTGGGTCCGGAGGGTGGGGACGGGTGGGGGGGACCCCAGAGCACACGGAGCCCCAGCCCGGCCCCAGCACAGGAGGGACACGGCGTCTGTTATCACAGCAGACACTTCCTCTGAGCCCGGCCTTGGGTAAACTGACCAGCCAGTTGTCTCATTCCACCCTAGAGACGAGGGTCTTACCCCGTCCACAGCTATGAAACTGAGACTCAGCCTATTCCGTAGCTGGTATCTATGGAAAGAGAGACTGTAGAAAGGGACGTCATCGAGCTCAGAGAGGAGAGCGAGGGCTGCCCTTTAACCCACGGGACTGTGCAGCACAGCTGGGCAGGGACAGTGAGGGGCAAACAGGGAAATGGGAGACCCCAACCCTCCTCATCCTCCCCGTCCGCACCAAACGCCAGGCCCCCGCAGGTTCTCCTGGCCTGGCTGAGGGTCCCATCCAGGGCTGGACGGGACCCCACGCTTTGAAGGCCATGGCTCTGAGGCCCCGGGTCCACATCTGACCCCTCCCGACACCCCCTGCAGCGGACGTGCTTCTGGATCCGGACACCGCGCACCCCGCGCTCCGTGTGTCTGAGGACCAGAGGAGCCTGTGGCGAGAAGACTCCTGGGAGGACCTGCCGGACGCCCCCGGGAGGTTTACCCGGATTGAGTGTGTGCTGGGCTGTGCGAGCTTCACGTCGGGGAGACGTTTCTGGGAGGTGGACGTGGGCGACAGGAAACAGTGGCGTGTTGGGCTGTGCAGGGACAACGTGAGCAGAAAAGGGGGCGTAAAAATGTCCCCCGAGAACGGGTTCTGGACAGTGGGGCTGTATCATGGGAGTGACTACCAGGCTCTCACGGACCCGCCGACTAAACTGACCAACGTGAACCCTCCCGAGAGAGTGGGCGTTTTCCTGGACTATGACGTGGGGCAGGTGTCATTCTACAACGCCCTCGACGGGTCACACATCTTCAGCTTCCCGCACACCCCCTTCTCTGGGCCTCTGAGGCCTGTTTTCCGGGTTTTGACAGCTGAGGGCACCCCCTTGACCCTTTGCGCAGCACAGAGAGCCGTGGGGACATCCCTTGTGCCTGTCCCAGGGCCTGACCCTTCCCCGGAGACCCCAGGGTCCCTGGGCTCGGCTGAATGGAATGGGGACCCTCAGGCGGAAGTAATGTGTGTCCTTGCCGCTCAGTCTGGAGCTGAGGGCCCCCGTAACCGCAAAAGGTCAGAGCGTGAACAAACTTACTGAAAACAGGCTGAGTGAAGCACTTCACTGATATTCATTCGTTTCTCCACACGTGAGATAAGGACACGAGGTGCAGGAAGTTAATGTTCCTAAGGTGACTCCATTGCTTCCAACAACCTCCGCTGCCGTCCCGAGGTAACTCCCAGGTACCGGGGGCCGCGCTGACTGCCGCAGGGGACTGTCACTCACTGTCCCTCACGACGCCCCCAAGAGGCAGCCTCGTTTAGAAAGTGTGGAGACCGAGGCAGGGCCCCGGTCCCTGCCATCTGCGAGGCCCACGGATTCCGTGCGGCTGGGAGAGGCTCGCCCTCTGCCCCTCCCTCTGCCCCTTGGCAGCCGGTTGTTCCTGTCGGGCAGGGTCATGGGCCCCCTGAGGTTCCCTTCCCAGGGCTCCAGGGGTGAAGGCCACCGCGGGGGACTGTGAAGGCCGCCCCCACGCGCATCCTCAGGGTCAACTGTCAGGGCCGTGGTCCCCGCTTCACTGACGGGCTCCGCAGGGCAACGTGGTGCAGAGGGTGAATCACAGCGACCGCGCCTCCCAGGGCCGAGGACGGACCAGCGGCCACTTTCCAAACCAGCTGTGACCTGTGAGCACAGAGCAGCGCCCACCCTCCCACGTCACCCCTGAAGGTCCTCTGGGAGCAGGACTCTGGGAGGCAGGGAGACAGAGGAATGTCCATTAATTTTTGTGACGGTGGATTCCGTGTCCAGGAGAGGGGCACCCACTGCTGAGCATCCATTGAGACCCCCGCGGTTCCTGCTGCGCGTGGCTCCTGGGGAAGGGACGCTGCTCTTCATCGTAACTCTTATTTTTCTCCATATGTCCCCCCACCTGCATGTGGTTGTCATGTCACAGTTGTTTAATAAATTTGTCTTTAATCTCCACTCTTCGTCTGAGCTTCTTGTAGACTGAAGCCCCCGCAGCTCACTAACAGTTTCACATTTGCTCCATGAACATTTTCACAAAATCGTTACTGAGTTGTTTTCTGTCACTGGTGTGAGGCGCAACCACAAGCCGCATGACCTAATACACCGCGACCCCATTATCTGACATATCTTTCTGTCGGTCACATCCGGCAAGGCGCTCGCAGGGCTGAAGCCAAGGTGTCACAGGCTGGGTCCTTTCTGGAGGACCCGGGGACCAGTCCGGGTCCTGCTAATTCTGAGGAGGACAGAGCGGAGCTTCCTGCTGAGACAGCACCCAGGCCGCCCTCCTGCTGCGTCAGGAGAGGCTGAGACACCCCGGGCTGGGACCGGCTGCAGCCGTCCTCGCAGGGACAGAGGTCGGGGAACAAGTCCAGTGGAGGGAGGGACACGGGGACAGAGTCCCAGGCGTGGGATGGTTGCTTTGGGGCCATTGCTCGTGAGCTGCTTGCCGTGTGCAACTGAGGCAGCACCGAGGACGGCCAACCATTGAGAGTGGAGACAGAGGCAAGGGGAGGGGCCCTGGGCACTCACAACGTCACCGCCCAGAGAAGAGCATCTACCGCTGTTATTTCCGACACGGGAAGTGACTAGGGCATCGTTTCTCTTTTTTTCTGGTGGCTTTTTTGCACTGTGGCTCCTGCAGAAAGTTTTTCTCTGCACATCAGACCAGCAGAGGTTTGTCTAGGGTCCCCTCTTACCTGACAGGTGGCTCCCTCCTGCCCGAGGGACGAATGCGTGGTTTGCCCAGCGGAGCTGGGGGCACCGAGGCCTGGGACGCACCCTGAGCTCAGCGGAGCCGTGAGCGGGGGAGAGGGTGTCACCCCCCCGGAGGACGCTCGGGCCCCTCCTCAGAGATCCCTACGGGTCCCCCCAAAGAACGGGCACAGGGAGTAGACATTTTAGACATGTTTGTGTGTCCCCAGGCCTGGGCTCCAAGCCCCACATTGAAATGAAGGGCCTTGAGGACGGGGTGTCGGGCCGGAGTGCACCCCCGGAGGGTGGTGCCTGGGGCCCCGCGCAGTGTGTGGGGACCTTGTGGTGAGCTCAGGCCCGCCCTGGGGGGCTCACACCGCGGACACAGCCGTCCTCTCCGGGGTCACCAATGCCGTGACCATGGACGACAGCTCTGTCAGGACACGTCCTGTCGGTCAACAACACCCTGCTGGGCCCGGAGAGGGGCTCTGTGACCTTCCTTCCGGGTCAGCGCCCTGCCCCCTGGGGACGCCCAGCCCGAGGAGGCAGGACCCTCAGCAGACAGCGGGGCCCAGTGGGGCTGGGGGAGGGGCAGGGAGGGGCTGGGAGGGTCCTGGGCCCTGAGGGGCTCAGGCTGCAGCTGAGCTGAGGCCTCGCCCCTGTCACAAGGGGCACCTCACAGGGTCCCTGGTCCCAGGGGGCAGAGCCTCTTCTCTGAGGGTAAACGTGATCCCTCCACCCTGTTGTGGGTCTGAGGCTGCAGCTGCGCTTGTGGATTCACAACAATCGCAGGCCGTGGGAGCGGTGTGGGCAGGCGGCCGTCTGCGCCTGGCGGTTCAGGTGCTGAAGCCTCCCCTCCTGCCCGTGGGGTTTCCAAGGACAGAGCTGGGACACCTTCATCACAGATGCTCATATACTCACTCAACAAACACTCAGCAAGGACCACGTATGTTCCAGGCACTGTGACAGAAACCCAATAAATCAGAGAACAAAGGCCATGGAGAGCCCTGCCCTCATGGGGCGCACATTGCAGAGACGCAGGGAGTAATCTGTGAAGCAATGAACTAAACCAGGAGTGAAGTATTTAACTAAACTATTATACCAGACGGCGATGAGTGCTGTAAGAATTAACCCGGGGGTGCAGGGAGGGCTAGAGGCGGGAGCGGGGCTGCCACCGGGATGGTGAGGGGCGGCTTCCCTGCAAAGGCGGCAGCGGGGCCCGCGCGGGAGCAGCGGCCGGTGGCCGGCGGAGCCCAGGCGCAGGGCCTGAGGCGGGAGCGCCCGCGCAGTTCCCAGGGGCCGGGAGGCGGTGCGGGTGGAAGGGACCGAGAGCGCGGAGACCCGGGGGCCGTGAGTGCAGCCCTGGGATGCGTCCAGGCCAGACGGGGCAGCGCAGGGCACAGGGGGCCTTCGGGTTTAGTCGTCGTGAGGCAGGAACCGGCAGGACCCGTGGCCGGGCTTCGAGCAGAGCAGAGACGGGACCTCCGGAGGCGGCCGCGCTGAGCACAGACCGCACCGGCGGGGCGGGAGCCGGGAGGGGGCGTTGCCGGAACCAGGCCTGGGGTCGGGGCTCGGCGGGACGGTGGTGGATTGTATTCCTCCAGGTCCTTGCGATGGTGATTCCAGATACCTATGCTATATTGTCTCCTCAGCCGTGTGAAGTGACAAACTAAAAATATTCATTAATAGGTTTGACATCCTTTGTGGAACAATTAGTTGCAGTTGTCTAACGGGCGTCTGCCTGAGATGATGCACAACAGTTGGAGAAAAAGAGAGGCCACCCCTGCCTCCAGGGGGCAGACAAGCCCCTTCCTCCACAGGTGACAGCGCAGCTCAGCCAGCAGCAACCGTGAGCAGCCCCCCAGGGCCACCCAGCCTTTGTCCCCCACGCCCCTCCTCCCCACCAGCACCCCCTGCTGTGGCTGTCCCTGTCCCAGTCCCTCTGCTGCCCCCAGCGGGGACTTTGTCTGCAGGGCATGTGGCCTGAAATCTGGGATCTCCCCCTAACTGCTCTGGAAACAAGGCCATGGAACCCCTCTCCCTGCAGAATGGCCGACGTTCAACTCTGTGCAGGTGGCTGGCTGGTCACCTCCCTGGGGCTCTGAGCTCCCACCCCCCAGAGACCCTGAGCCTCAGGACGCCCATAATGGAGGCACTGAGGGCATCCTGCTGGCGAGGACAGAGGAGGGATGGCGGTGAGCTGTCCTCGCCCCTCAGGAGACAAGCAGGGCTGCTGGACGGCGTCCCTGAGATTGGCTCACCCATTGACTCCCCTTCCACAGGCCCCTGATTATAAATAGGCTGGTATCGGCGGGCGGTGTGGGGACAGGGGCTGGGAGGGGAGACCCGTGCGCAGGCAACGCAGGTCTTCTGAGGACAAGGACAATCCCCAGCCGGGTGTCCTCCCTGTTTGGGGAAGAAGAGATGCCTCTGCCTCTCGCAGTCCCTGCCTCTCAGTCCCTGTCCTCTCCTCCTCCTCCTCCCCTCCCCCTCCCCCCCCCCCCCCCCCCCGTCTTTCACACACGCACACAAGGCCTCACCTGAAGGGGTTCATCCCAGGGGATCCCCTGCCACTGGCGACCTTGGGAGTGGATCATCCTTCTAGTGCACGCGATGAAACGGGATGAGTGCGGGGACGGAGGAGCCTCACTGTCCCTGGGATGAGAGTGGCCTGGGCCCGGGGCGGAGCAGGGGCTCTTCCAGCAGCCAGTCGGCCCTGGCTGGAGAGTCAGCTGTTCGGAGCAGCGTCCCCACAGCCCAAAAGGCTCGGGGGGGAGTCCCCATCCGGGCCCACACCTGCTGAGGGTTGGGTTCTCCGCGGGTACTTACGGGAGGCAGCCAGCCCTGGGTCTGTGTCACATTCATGTTTCTCTCCCTTCCTGTGTCTCTCAAATCCACAAACAGATTTATTAAGAAATTTAAAAATATAGGTAGCGAGCTTCCCAAGCTTTGCCGGCGCTGTGACGGGTCGACCCTCTAGCGAGACTGACAAGCCTCTCTGGTCGATCGCCTCTCGCCGGACCCCTGGACGATGAGGTATCGGAGGGGGAGGGAGACGAGCCAGTCCCCTCGGAGGAGCCCTGCTGGGTCCCCGAGGAGGTGGCCTCTGGGGAGGGAGACGGGCTCATGCTCCCCAGTCTAATAAGCTGAGTGTCCCATTCTCTCCGTCCTCCTTCCTGTTAACGAGGGGACGACCCACGGTCACTCCGTGTGGTCACGGGGGTCTCTGAGGTCCCAGGCTCCCCCGTGCAGGCCTCCCCTGAGCTTGCTGGGTAGAATGTGGCCCCATTTTGCCCTCTGTCGGCAGCCAACAAATTACAAGAAAATTCTTCTCTGTAGACCATGGATCGGGAACCCTTTTTGCTTAAGGGCCGGATGGTGCATAGGGTCGCTTTGAGGACCGTGAGGTTCCTGCCACACGCCCGTGTAGCCCAGTCTCACGTGACCGTGTTCCCCTGCGTCGCAGTCCTCGTCTCCTGAAATAAAAGAATTTAGATCAGAGACAGTGACTAAAGCAGAGGCAGTTCACTGAGGCTCTGCAGGGGACGAGGACCCTGAGCTCAGCCTGGGGGTCTGTGCCCGAATGTGGGGTTCGGGGTTTTCCTCCCA